CTTATCGTTTACTATCGCAAGATGCTCTCAACGTTAAAAATGTAAGAGTTTTGCATGTTTTTATTCCCACTGAATCTGAACAAAATCATATTTTATGGGTATATGTGATACTGAAATCCCACTTTTAGTCGCTCGTCTCCATTTGTTTTTTTTTTGTTTTCCTGAAAACCACACGAGAATGAGCACTTAATGACGACAGCAAAACCGTCTTGTTTTGGCAAAAACATCTGAAAATTTATCTGAACTAACAAACAATGATGTCTGTTTGAAGACAGAAATTTGTCAAGAAGAAAAATTGTTGTTTATTTATTTCAGTTTATTTCTGGTAATCTCAGTGCTATCAACAGTTGATGGCTACATTGATATATTCAAACTTAGCAACGTCGAGAACTGTATCGTGAAGGTATGAACTGAACAGGATTCCAGCTCTCTTGAAACGTCTCATTTTAGACAAGAAGCTCTTCTGTTATTATATATAGCATGAATGTCGATTTCAAATTCTTCATCTCCTCAACTCTTTCAACTGTTAGATGATAAGTGCATTCCAACTCAGAAATTTGTATTATCAGAAGTAACTGATGCCATGTACATGTTGTATTAATTCGCTTCACATCTTACACTGGAGACAATTCAACTTTCAAATGCGTAGTACCACAACGCACGCTAAACAGTCTTTTCACAGTGCTGTCTTTTCCACTGTTCCATCGAGCAAGTGCATGTGATTTGTCGATCACTCGTAATCGCAATGTGGTTTATGAGGTTTCGTTTTGTNTCAGCGACGAAATGAGTGAGTATCTTCATAGATCATGCGATACATCAAAGAAATATTATTACATGAAATTTGGTAGTGATCTTCAAATGGTTCTGAAGGGAGAGTCATTCAAAGGATTCCCTATCGAACAAGAGCAATTGCTCATTTAATCAGCTTTTAATTTGGATCGCAAGAAAAGTTTCGAATGCTTAGAAGAATACGGAAAAAGATGCTTTCGCCTAATAACCGTTTTCGAAAGTAAATTATTGTATGAAGATGTTCGGGTTCAAAATTATAGTCTAAGCTTACGATTAGAGGTGTGAAAGTGTCTCTTCGCATTTCGTGTAGTATCGATGAATTGCCCAACTTAATTTCTAGGCATCAGCGAAATTCCTCGAAGACTTTGAACAAAACAACAGAACCACTCCTGAGGACTTTGAATGGCCATTCGTTCCGGCTAGTCGCTCATTTTGCTTTGGCGTCGATGTGACACAATACAATCTCTCCAGATGTGTTATAGTTGTAAGTTATCAGCTGTTAAAATACTGAATGATGAGTGACTGTGATTGCGGTTAGCGAATCTGTGAATTTGAATCTTTATAGTTAATGGGTTGTTTAGCGACTTCAATTACGAAATTCGTTGAAATACGATTGATTCTTCACCCTTTTACAATCAATTGTAAAAAGAGTACATTTTGACAGAGCGACATGAATTGTTTTATTTGCATACTCTCCGAAATATGTTCTTATGAGATCGTTCAAAAATCTGGTTCAAGGAAGAGGAGCAAAAATTGAAGGAAAAGAAGCCTTTTGGAAGGCATAATACGACATCTTCTCTGCGCCGATACGCTTGAGCTTGAGAATGTTAATTCAATTTGTTCAGCAGTTGACGGCGAAACGTCGTGTTATCACAGGCAAACTTTCATTATCGACACATGAGGACCGATTTCAGAATAACGTTGCGTATTTCTACGGTAAAGAACCAAGACATCTAAGTGATGAGCAAATCAAAAGATTTGAACAATACGCAAAAGAATTGGAGGCGTATGGAATCTATTTGTACGAGAATGCAATGCAGGTTTGTTTGTGAATGTACGATTCGGTAATTCGAATCCTTCTTCGGAACTCACCTCTTGCATTTTGCTGCCAACAATAAATTCAAATCTCAGATATTACAATTAGATTAATGCGAGTATTCTATCGTCGGACATTGATCAAATGATCGAATGACGGTTGAATTAGGTATTGTGTATCAAGATATAAAATATTTCATTGCATATATATGAGTTGAGTTAGAGAACCCTAAGGAAACGTTTCGCAATCTCTTTACTCTCATAGTCAAAGCAATTTGTTTTCGATTTGAGCTCGAGTTGTCTACAAATCACCTTATAAGCTCTTAACACGGTGGATTAAATGAATTTCGGAAAAATTTCCGAGAGCTTTTCAAATCATCCCTATGGTGATAGTGATAAGCAAAATGAGGTATGGCCATGGATTACATTTGATCACAGGCTTAGACTGAAGCTCATAGCGAGAAATCATCTGATTGGTCAATAGTTACCCCACTCCGGTGTGAAACCATCATATACTCATTTCATGAATAACTCACTCTTTGTATGAGCCTCAGTCGAAACTTAAATCCGAATGTAATCTATCGCCATATTTCAATCTGATTGCCGTCACTTTCCTTGGATCATTATCGAAGCACTATTGTGATCATTCTTATATCAAACATTACAGAAGCGTGGCAAAACCATCAGATCACGACTTACACCAGTGTCCGCTCCACAGAAGCCAACGTCCATCTGTGACGAGATTCATGCTTTCACGCAATAACAAAGCACCTACCTAGCAACTTCTCTCTCTCTCTCTGAAAAAAGTATTCACAACTGATAGGATTCTGATTCGAGTACAGATTGAATTTGTGACCTAAACAAA